AACCCTTGCATAACTCTCGGGACAACAGTTGCACGAGACAATTCTGGAACATACGTCACTTGCAACGCCCTCTTGAGCGGCATCGCTGCAGCATACTTGAACTCGCACAGTAGAGATTTTTGAACTGGAAGCATCGGCCGCCTCACAACTGTAGCATTCACCGCGGGCGCCTAGCGAGGGCGACCTCTCTTCCGCCTCGGCGGCTGCACCGCCAACGGCACGACGCTCTCTGCGCCGATCGGGTTGCCGATCTCGGGGGCGGGAGGCTCGTCTACGCCTGCCGCTAGGGCCGCCCAATCGTCTGGCAGCTCTGGCGACGGCGCGGCCGCCAAGGAGTCCCAATCCTCTGCTGCAGGCGCGCCGCCGCCGATATAATCCACAGTGTCAACATCATCGGCTCCCGCTGCCAGGGCCGCCCAACCCTCCTCCATAATATAGACGCATTACAGTATCAGAACCGAATGCAAAACAAAAATATAAACAAATATGGCTGGCCAACGAGATGATGGCGCGATGCTCCGATAAGGGCCCGAGGGCCCATGATGCGTTCAAATGCCCGGATCACGGGCGCATCTTCGAACCAACGCGCACGTTCCACTCCGACGCGCGAATGGACCGCTATGCGGAGGCACTTGCTGGGAGGGCACGCTTGGGAACATGTTGCTGAACAATGCTGAATGGGCCCCGACGGCAATGCAAATCAACGTGCAATGGCAATGACATGCTGCGCGCAATGCGGCCCCCGCGTGCCGCGTGATATGTGGTGCGAACTACAGACGTGCACATGCGTGCACATGCGCGCACCGCCCTCCCGTGCTGGGCCGAAACACGCGTGCGACCACACTGCACTTCGCGCGCGACAACGGAATACATTGCACACGCGCTACGATGGCCACCTGCACTCTTATCATGCGCGCGCGGAAAGCCGCACACCCCGCTACATCTCGCTGTCTTACATGTGTTCGCTCCACGTGTTTGTTTCTGTTGTATAATAGGTCATGGGCGCTCTCGCCTCAACGCCAGCCACATCTTTGCTCCGCCGACGGTTGCCCGCGCGCGATCCCTTTCGCCCCGCAATTTTGTGGCACCGCCGACTAGCCCCGCCCGCGCATGTGAAAGTTTCAATAGCGACGGCTTGTTTTCTCATTGCATTCATGCGCACCCCGCTCGGAAAGTTTCCGAGGGGCCCGAGGCGCGCTCTCGCCTCGGCGCCTACCGCACTCCCACCCCATTTGCAGCTTCACTGTCTGCAACGGAAAGTTTGACCTGAGCAGCGCCGCGTTGTCGCGGGCTTGAGTTGGCGACCTCGTCACGAACTTGCTTTCGCATTCGTTGCGGGTGCGACGCGCGGCGGGCTACGCCGCGGGCCGCGGCGGCGGCGCCGCGCGCGCCCGCGGACGGGCGCGGGTGGATCGCGCGCGGGTGCAACAATTGCACCCGCGCCGATCGCCGCGCGACGATGCCCGACAGAACGGGCCTGCCGCGCCTCCCGCGGGAGTTCACAACGCCATCGGGCCTTGGAAACACGCGGGCGCGACAAGGGTCGCGCGCGCACAGCGGGGGGGGAAGCTCGAATTCTCGGCCGAGTTAAAGTCAACGCGACCGAACATGGCGCGCGCAGTTATTGCGGGAGGTCTTGACGGAGGCCAAGCTACATTTGTATGCCCTGGTGACCTTTTTTCCTTGCAAATTGCGGGTGCCCGCCAGGGTTACTTTAGAGCTACTTTATTTTTTTGGGGGGCCTACCAGCTGTAGAGGATCGTTCCTACACAAGGATAGCGAGGAGGTGGACCAGTGGTGCGTGATCCTACCGGCCGGGGCGACATGTGAACAAATCGTGGCATGTACGGATGCGGTGCGACTGTCATTGGTAGAGGGCACGGCAGAGATCTGGGTGAGGGCCCAGTCTTTTTGTAGATGACCTGCGGAACAAGGCGTCTTCTCAGGGCCACGGCGGGCAGATTTGCGCAAGCCCTGGCAAAAGCGTCCAACAACCAACAAGATCCAGGAGGAGCGCCTGCAGCGCCGGCCGCGCGGCCAGCTCCCTGTCCTGCCAGGACCCCGGGGCGGGCGGGCCGCAGCCGCCAGCGGCGCGACGAAGCCCCGCCTCGCAGGCCCTCATTTGCCGCCGCCTGGTTGCGCGCCGCGCTGCTGGCGCACCGAGCTGTGCCGTCTCCTCCACGCGCATGGGCCGCCTCCGGGTGGGCAGCTACCCGTCGCCATCTCCCAAGCGCCCGCGCCGCGCGCACCCGACCGGCTTGAGCCAAAATGGCGACTGACGACGACAGCGTAGACGACGACGACGACGACGACGACGACGACGACGACGACGACGACGACGACGACGACGACGACGACGACGACGACGACACCCACGCCCATGCCAACGCCCACGCCCACGCTCATGCCCACACCCACCCGACCGCCGCCGACGACGACAACGACGCCGCTGGCGACGCCGCTGGCGACAACAACGACGACGACGCCCACGCCCTCGCCAACGCCCACGCCCACGCTCACGCCCACGCTCACGCCCACGCCCACGCCTCCGCAGACGACGACGACGACGCTGTGCCGCCGCCGCCGCGGCGACGACGACGACGACGACGCCGGCGACGACGACGACGACGCCGACGCCGCCGCCGCCGCAGCCGCCGCTGGCGTTCTGGCGACGGCGGCGGCCGGGCGGCGGCGGCCACGGACACGGCCACGGGCGACGGCGGCGCCGCACGGCGACGACGGAGGCCCCCCGCCCCATGAGCGGCGCAGATCCCCAGGCGGCCGCGGCCCCCGGCGGCCCACCAGAGCCCGCCCCGCGCGAGGGCGGCGGCGCCTCCGCCGCGGGCGGCTCGCGGGGGGAAGCCGTGGAGCGTCGTCGTCGTCGTCGTCGTCGTCGTCGTCAGCGTCGTCGTCAACGTCAGCGTCATCGTCAGCGTCGTCGTCGTCGTCGTCGCCACCGCCGCTGTCGCCCCAGACCTCGGCCATTCTGTTTATGTTGCAGCCCGTGGCGTCGTTCCTCGATGTCTGCCCTCGGGGGCCAGGTGCCGTGACCATCCGGCAAGGGCCCGAGACGAAGAGCGAATTACCCCCGGGGAGGAGGTCGGGGCCGCTGTCGCCGCGCTTCCACCGTCGTTTCCGTCCCTTTCTTTCTCCTCGTCGGCGTCCTCCTCCTCCTCCTCCTCCTCCTCCTCCTCCTCCTCCTCCTCCTCCTCCTCCTCCTCCTGCTCCCCGTGTCCCTGGGTGAGCGGAGACGGCTTCGCTTCAAGGCCGTTCACCAGTGGCTCTTCTTGGACCATTAGATTTGGGCGAACAGTCAGAGACCGAGCCTGAGGAGGAGACACCCGATGAAGACGAGCCTCTTCCAGAACCAGTCCCAACTTCGGAGTTCAAGTGCTGCGGCGTGGAGTGGTCTCAGGAAAACCGGGAATTGCGACAATTGATATGAGCTTGAGTCCCAGAGTGCCACCGCCGAAGTACATCCGAGCTTCGTACACGTATCAGTTTACCTGGAGGAGGGCTCGGAGCCTTGGCGAGCAGGTCTGTTGGTTAGTCACAACCGTGGATGGCTTCTATGGCAAACTCGTAGGTGGCCCAGGCGTCGACAAGAACTCCACACACCACAGCAACAAACTGTCTGGCGAGGAAGCTGATAGGACTGTCAAGGTGACTCCCTTGCATCCTTTTTCGCGGACGCGCGATGCGGGCGTGGATTGAGATGTGAGAAAGAGCTTGTTCTAGCGCTGCTGGCAGAAAACCGGGGGGAGTCACTGGGGGTTTCCAGCCCGTCCCCCCCCCCCGTCGAAAACCGGGGGGGGGGGGCTACTACCGGTTCGAACCCCCCCCTCCCCCCGCCCATCCATCATGAAAAGGGGGCGGGGTCACTACCAGTTCGAACCCCCCCCCACTCCCCCTCGCCGTCGGCAAACGATTCCCGCTCCTCGGGACAGTGGGACAGTGGTGGGGGCACTGGGCCAGTGGTGAGGAGGGTGGTGGTGGTGGGGACAGTGGTGTGGGGACAGTGGGACAGCGGCGGGGACAGTGGGACAGTGGTGGGGACGGTGGCGGTGGGGACAGTGGTGAGGGGACAGCGGGACAGTGGTGAGGACAGTGGGGACAATGGGACAGTGGTGGGGACGGTAGTGTGGTGCGGGCAATGGTGAAGGCGGTGGTGAGAACGGTGGTGGGACACTGGTACTGTAGGAAGAGTGGTGGGGACACTGGGGACAGCGGGGACAGTGGTGGGGACGGTGGAGACAGTGGGACAGCACAGTGGGACAGCGGCGGGGACAGTGGGGACAATGGGACAGTGGTGGGAACAGTGGGGACAGTGGGACAGTGGTGGGAATAGTGGGGACAGTGGGACAGTGGTGGGACAATGGTGGGGACAGTGGGGACAGTGAGACACTGGTGGGGGCACTGGTGGGGACCGCGGGGACAATAGTGGGAACAGTGGGGACACTGGGACAGTGGTGGGGACAGTGGGACAGTGGTGGGGACGGTGGTGGTGGGGACAGTGGTGGGGGGACAGTGGGACAGTGCTGGGGACGGTGGTGGTGGGGACAGTGGTGAGTGTGAGGGCGGTGGTGAGGATGGTGGTGGGACAATGGGACAGGGGTGCAGTGGAGACAGTGGTGGGGACAGCGGGGACAGTGGTGGGAGCAGTGGGACAGCTCAATGGGACAGCGGCGGGGACAGTGGGGTGATGACGATCGGAAGCTGGAGCATATACATTACCAGTGGCGGGCTGTTTTTCAATCCCAGGACCTCTTGAGTGTCGAGGACGACGCTGTGGTGGTGTGGAGTATGCTTTGTTCCCCGACATTCCTAGGAAACAACGAAACATGTATACACCAGGGTCCCGTATACAGCAGGATCCGCTCTCCAGTGCAAATTCCAATGCAGGGCCCGAAGAAGCGTCGGTGTATAGAGTTCGATTCTCTAGAGGTGCCCGAGGGGGCGATGCCCCCGCCGAGCAAAGCATCCTGCCTTCCCCCCGCGAGGCGGCGCGAGCGGCTTGCAGCGCAAGTTCCGCCCGCCTGCGCCCCCGGTGCGCCTCGCGCACCACCGGGGGGGGAGGCGTGAGAAGAAGGTGCCGTGAATTTCGACGGTCGAGGTTCGAGTTGTGGAGGACGATCAGTGGAGAGGAAGCATGTTGCCAGATAATTTCCAGATGTCTAAAACGTGTGTTAAACATGTTTTACACGTGTAAAAAACTTGTTTCAAACATGTCTAGAACATTTTCCGACAGTTCAAACACACTTTAAATTCAATGATCGGATTGTTAGGGTGTCCATTGTCGTGACATCCACAAGGTTCGAGACTCGAACATCGGGGGCCGGGGTTCTTGGGCGCTCCCTGGGCCTCCAGGGGGCTTCTCGTCGCCATGGCTGGACTCGCCTTGGGATTCTGGCCAAACTGCGCCCACGGAGAGGTCTGGAAGCAGGGCTTGAGAGAGCAAGCCAGTTGCGCTTGCGCCATATCTGGCATCCGACCAATTCCACCCATCCCTTCCCATTGCGCTGTTTTTTTCTGTATCGCCGACGGGTGCCAAAGCAGATCCGGGACCTTACGTACCCTACCCTCGCCGCAATCCAAGCCCTAACCTCGCCGATCAACGGTTCAGGCAACTCGATGGGCGGCCGGCGTAGGGTTCGGAAGTTGTCGAGCACGCAGCGGGGTCACAGCCCAGAGGCTACCCCGCGACGCCGCGGATACGCATATGTTTCCTTGGATCCGACGTCGGGAAAAAATTGCATCATCGCAAGAAATTGCGACCATAGCCTTGGACCCCACCTTTTTGCATCACGTCTCGAGCTGTGTCGATCTCGAGCTGGCCTCGGATGTCGCCACCTGTCCGAGCGCCGAGGATGGCGAGAGAAGAATCCGCCGTGGTCGTTCTCAAGACGTTGTGGGTCGCGCAGGGGCGGCGGTCGCCCCAGGGGGGTGGGGGAGGCACAAAGGGGGCGGGTACTGTCGGAAGGCCGGGAAGGCCTCCGCCCTTCTGAGAAGGTCCTCGGGGCCTTGCGGCGTGATCGAGGAATGAGGTCGAGGTCGGTTTGGGGAGGGTGCCCCAATGTTCTTCGTATGTGTTGCATGTTCCTGCGCATCCTGGGGGAGGATAAGTTGGTCTGGAAGATGGTTCTTCTGTCCCGGCGGAGGGTGACATGTTCTTGAAGGTTGAAAGATGTGTTCTTGTCTTTGATACGACTGTATCTCAGTCAAGGGAACAAGAACTACACCTACCCCCCTTATTGGCGCTTGCTTTACGAAACAGCGCTGCCGTGTTCGATTCCTTCCTTGGATGCCTTTCCTGAGCGGCTTCGCTTGCTGGGGTGTTTGTCATGAGTACGTGTTGGTGTGCGTGTGCGTGTGCGTGTGCGTGTGGGTGCGGGTCTGTGTGTGTGTGGGTGTTGGTGTGGGTGTTGGTGTGGGTGTTGGTGTGGGTGTGAACGTAGGTGTGCGTGTGCGTGACCGTGTACGTTTGCGTGTGGGTGTGCGTGTGCGTGACCGTGTACGTGTGCGTGTGGGTGTGCGTGTGCGTGTGCGTGTGCGTGTGTGCTTGCGTGCGCGTGTGCGTATGCGTGTGCCTGTGCGTGTGCGTGTGTGTGTGTGTGTGTTTGTGCGTTTTTGCGATGTTCCATGTTTGTTTGCAATGTCGGATCTCAGAGTATCGCCAGGTCCCAGAGTCAGGAAGGCCCACTCGCGATTGAACCCCGAAGCCCCGCAGAATCTTCCGTAGCTGGTGCTTCTTCGGGTGACGGCAGCAGGTCAGGTTCGTGGAAATGGACGGGGGGGCCTCCCTCTGGTACACATCACCAAGCCAGGTCCCACTGCACCTGGTCCTGCCAACGTCAGGCAAGGGTCCCTCCAGGTAGGGGGGTCCTGGAAGGACGGAGGGTCCTGGAGAAGCCGGGAATCCTTGAGGAATGGGGGGTCCTGGAGGATAGCGGAGGGTCCTGGAGGATCGAGGGTCCTGGAGGAGGTGGCTGGAGATCACAAGGGCCACTTCTCCGTCCCCCCCGCCGCGTGTCAAAGCCTGTCAGTTTCGTACAGTCTTCAATGGGTGGGCTGTCAACCGGAGGTCGGAGGGTTGGGTTTGGGCTGCAGGGGCTGCCCCGACAACATGGAGCATTACGCTGTCTGCGCCTGCTTCCACACAATGTGCCGACTTTGGTTGGGGCTACGCAAACCTCCCGTCGACAGCTGTCTCGCGGACTTCCTGGGCATCGCACCGTCGCCAGCATCAATCCCTCGCAGACACGAGTGGGGCGTGGCTGAGGCCGCTGCACTCCGCGCCACCGGGGTCTACGCCTTGTACCGGCTCCACAACAGCGCCCGGCACAGGGGGGTGCATCAGATGTGAGTGGCCTCTTCCGCGGCTTCATACGAGAGGGAGCCCGGGGACACACAAAAGCGTCGTCCTTGGTCTCTTCCGCCCCGACGCGGCCCCGATTGGGCCCCGTGTGATGCAGTTCTCGCTTCCCGTATCTCCCCTTTCGTTCTCCCCCATTCGTTTTTGTCTTTTCGTTCCCCCCCCCGCTCGCGGGCCGCTGCGCATTCAGGTCATTTGTTTCATACGGCAGGTCGGTACTTTGTCGTGCATACCCGCATCTCTGGCTAGCGGAGTGTGTGGCGGCATCTGGGTTTTGTGGTAGGTTGGGTATCCGCCAGCTCACACCACACCAACTCGCCCGGGCAATACAATACTTGCCTCGGGGCGCAACGGAAAGAATTTGTCATGAAGCAGTCTTCCCTCTTTCCTTTCCTCTCCTCTCCTCTCTCCACACGTGGCGCCGTTGAAAATTCGTCACAATGTGCATTGGTCTGTTGCCCCCCTGGAGAGCGTGAAAGCCACCAGTGTTGGTGTGCTCACCCCGCCCAGTTTATTACGGCCACTGCTGGCGGGCTGGCGGTGGTGTCCAGGCGTGATCTTTGACATCGACCAGTTGGAAGGCGTCGGGGCCGTCGGAAGCATTCAAATGTTGGGGTCGAGGCTGCAGGAAATCCGCAGTTGTAGTTGATTCGCATGCTCCATGCCGCTGGCCGGAGCAAGGCCGCATATGTGCAGTTGACTGCCCGTACTTCTGGGCCGCCCCTGATGATGGGGGCCGTTCCAGTCTCGCGTTGTCGCCGCCGTAGGCCCTGCTCAACTCGGCTTGCCCCAACTTTGACCACCCTGTCGCTCGAGAATCGTTCGGTCTTGCAGGGATCGTGCGTGCGTTGATACCCTGCTCAAGGGTTGTTAGATTCACCAGTGCGGTAAGTATCTCTCCTTCCTCTTCTTCCTGCTCCCCCTCCCTCCTTTCTCCTGCCATGGTGAATGTATTGCCTGGCCGCCGAGGCTGTTCAATACGGCTTTGTCCAACAACAGTTTGGCAGGCCAGGGGATGATACGTTTTAGGGCTAACTCGTATCCTTCGCCTTTTGGTTCCTCTCCTCCTCCTCCTCCTCCTCCTCCTCCTCCTCCTCCTCCTCCTCCTCCTCCTCCTCCTCCTCCTCCTCCTCCTCCTCCTCCTCTTCCTCCTCCCGACTCAAATAGCCCCGATTGAAATACATCGGCCGCCGTGCACATCTACGGCCGCGCCGACTTCGTGGGCGGCAGGAGGTGCGCCCACGCCCACCCAAGGCGCCGCCCCCTCGCCTGGCCGCTTCGGCTAGGAGGACGCGGACCCCCCTCTTTACGCTCGTCTCCTCCTCCTCCTCCTCCTCCTCCTCCTCCTCATTCTGGACCGATCGCCCGGGCAATCTTCGTCACAGGTCGTTTTTTGGTTTGCCTCCATCTGTCCTGGGGCGACAGGATTTGTCCTCTCCAGCCGGCGCCTACAGCAAGCAGCAACGTAATCGTGGCGAGGCACGAAGCCGTCCTCCCCGACCTGGCGTTGTGGCCACGTTCGCAGGGCAGCCTGGCGACGTACATGAGAATTGCCAGTACGCTTGGGGAGGCGAGTTGTGTATATTACAGTCGGGGCCCTGAAGAAGGAACCCTTTTCGTTGGGGAGGGGCTCCGCGTTCCTGAAGTGTTTCGCAGCTTGCCCCAGGTTTTCCTGGGTTTTCGATACGAAATCGAAGTTCAACTTATGGTTCAAAAGGGGCCTCGTTCCTTATTTAGGGTTCCTTAGGTCAACGCCCCGACTGTACATGATAATGGCCAGCACGCTCGGGGAAGCGAGTTGTGTAGATTATCGCTGTCCGCTCCCATCTCCTGCTCCTCCCAAAACAGGCCTCGGGCGTTCTGGAGGAGCGGGGTCCTGGAGGTGTCTCCCCGCTTGCTGGAGGAGCACGTCCTTGGAGGAGCGGGATCCTGGAGGCGCGGTGTTCCTGGAGGCGTCTCCCCGTTGTCGTCTGCCTCCTCGCGAGGCCATCCATGGGCCCGAAGGCCGTCAGAAGCGGCCCCCAGGGACGAGCGACTGGTCCCCAGGAAAGCCCCTGGGTCAAAGACCTGTTCCCACTGCAGGATCCACGGCGATGACGATGGCGATGACGACGACGAATTCGACGTCGACGACGATGACGACGGCGACGACGACGACGGTGACGACAACGACGACGACGACGACGACGACCCCCAAACCTGTCACAGGGCAGTCCCAACGAGGATCCCAAGGCGGATGGCCATGGCTGGGAGGCCACATCCGAAGGCCCAAAATCATTGAAGCATCTAGGTTCCCAATCGACCTCCCTCCCCGGACGCAATAAACAAGCTGCCAAGGGGGAAGGGAAGGTGGCCAGATCGATCTGGCCCCCTACCCCGGGGCCAGCTTATAATATGCTGAGCCGATGCTTGATGGCCACCATGAGGCCCGAAGCGTTGAAAAGCCACCCGTCGCATTTTTGCTGCGACGCCAGCAGTCTGAGTGAGGGACGGCGGCGGCGGTGGCGACGCCGACGACCCGACGGCAGGTGGGCTACGTAGAAAAGTGGGGTCGTCTTCGCCGACGCTGGTGCGTAAGTTGCCCGCGTAAGGTCGTGCGTGGGCGCCCTCGTTTCCAATGTCGCGTGCCGCGCTGGCGGCCCGCGCAAGCCAACGCGTAAGATTGCTATGCCATCCTGCGTACGACTTGTTTCTTTTCGTCGCTCATGTGCCCGTGCATGAGGGTGCGTCGGCTGGCGTTTGGCTGGTGAGGGGCTCGTTGGCTCATGCGCGTGATGTGGCGCGGCGTTCCCGTAGTAGAGGGATGTTCGACGTGAGCGGGATGCCGTTCCCGCCTGCACCTGCGATGCCCAAGACCCGCCTCCTTTCGTGGCCCAGGTGGCGCCCGGCGAGCAGAACGCCATCGTGCGGGCGTCGCGCAAGCCGCTGGTGGTCTTGGCCTCCATGATCGACAAGACGCCCAACCTGGCCGGGCTGTGCAGGAGGGGCCGCGCGCGCGCGGCTGCGGGAGGAGGAGGTGGAGGAGGAGGAGGCGGATGCGGAGGAGGAGGAGGAGGAGGAGGGGAACAAGGCGAAGGAGAATGGTGAAGGACCGGGGCAGGCGGAAGGGAGTCCTCCCCCTGCGGTTCCTTTGTGTTCCTTCCCCATCCCTCCTCCTCCCCCTCCTCGTCCTGCATGCGGTTAGTTGTTCGCCAACCCTCCTTTCGTCCTCCTCCTCCTCCTCTTCGTCCTCCTCCTCCTCCTCCTGTATGCGGTTGGTCGTTCGCCAACCCTCCCTTCGTCCTGCTCCTCCTCCCCCTCTTCTTCCTCTTCCTCCTCCTCCTCCTTCTCCTCCTCCTTCTCCTCCTCTTCTTTGCCACTCCTCCCTTTCGCCCGACACAGGGAGGAGAAGGAGGGTCGAATAACAAAAGCGTATCAGCAATTTTCGGAGCTCCGCGCCTATGCCTTGGTCGTGGGTCCGCGCGGGACTCCCCCCCCCTTGGCGGCGCCTCCAGCGCCGCCCCATGGTGCGCTCGGCGCGCCAGGGGAAAAGGGCAAAGCGCCGACACAAGAAATCCGCGCGGACCTCCGACAGTTTCGGCTCATGCCACTTTTTATGTTCTAGGCGGCGAGAGGGACAACGACGACGAAGACGACCCGGGATTCCCTCGTTGCCATGGCTGGGCGCCTCTCGAAAGTTTGGTCAGGACGCACCCCAGGACACTGCGAGAAGTTGATTGTCGTCCCCTTGTTGTGAGAGAGTCTTCCCACAATCATCCAGCCCCCCACTTCCCCGCCAAAATCACTTCCACGTCTGAGCGAGTTCGACATCACCTTGCGAAATTAATTTCTCAGCTTATTCCTTGGAGTTTGCTTATTCGTAGCGTCCTTCTTCTCCTCTGCTCATCCTGGGCCTCCGTGACATGAGGACAAGCGAGGTATTCCACTGCGAGGCGCTCTGTCTCGCCAACGCGAAGATCGCCAAGGACCCAACCTTCCAGTCGATCTCGGTGACCGCAGAGAAGTGGCTGCCGATCCAGCAGGTGCGGGAGGAGGAGGAGGCGGAGGAGGAGGAGAAGGAGGGGCCAGGCGGCTTGCTTTTAGAGGGCAGCGGCGCGCATTCCAACAGTCACAGGAGCTGGTTCTTGGAGGAGTCTTGGGAGATCACTCGGGAGCCTCGGCGGTTGAACGCGGAGCGCGCTGGCTGAGGATGCCAGAAACGAAGCAAAGGAGTACCGTAGCGAGCTCTACCAGACCACATTGGCACACAGCTCACGCTGCTACCAAACATGTGTTTGCAAAGCCCGCCGTTGCCGAGCCTCCCGAAGGTATTGGAATACAGCTTGGTAGGCGCAGATACAGAGCAGCCTGAGTGGTTCGGACATGTCCTCCTGAGTTATACAGTTGAACTTGTCGTGCCTTTATTGCTTCTCGGTTCGTCGCACCACTCCGCTACCAGACATGCCTGACCAACGAGCAGCCACACGAGGAGGCAAGCGGTACACCGATAATCTAGTGGCCGTCTGAGAATGCTGGCGCCGTGCCTGCGTCGTGGACCCGAGGCCTCTTGAAGGCGTGCAAGGGTAGCATGGGGTGCCTCTCGGAGGCCTCTTGGAGGGCTCTTGGGGGCCTCTGACGGGCCTCTTGGGAGCCTCCTCCTGGGGATCTCTTGGGGTCTTCTGTGGGCCGCTGGGGGCCTTTTGAGGGCTTCTTGGGGGCCGACAATTCTCTCCTCCCTCCCCCCTATCAAACATGTCTGGAAAGCAGGCCGGGAGGGTACATACACCACGGTCTATCAAACATGGGTGTGTGGTTGCGCCTCATCCCCTCAGCTTTACTCCCACTCCCAAATCTGTGGGCTGAGGACAAAAACAATCGACCAACACCAAAACAAGCAATTCCATCCAACACGCTATTCGAGGTGCGCCCGGGGATACTTAGTTCCCCAATCAGTGCTTGCACTGGAGGGGTCCTAGCGGAAGTTGAAAGATTTGGCGAAAGTTTCTCGCCGATGTTGGTATCAGGTTGGGTTCCCGGGTTCCCGGGTTCCCTTTTACGGGTTTCCCGCCGATTTCGGTGGGTGGCGGGGTTCCCGGGTTCCCGGTCAATCTTCTTATCGATCGGTCTCACCATCGATCTCACTACCAACCTCTCGATCGATCGCATTGTCAATCTCACAATCGACCTCACCCTCGATCTCGCAATCGATCTCACTATAGATCGCACGAGCGATCTCACGATCGATCTCACTATCGATCTCATTGAATCGATTCACTACCGGTCTCACGATCGACCTTACCGTCGTCCTCAATATCAACTCCACGGTCGATATCACAATCGATCTCAACATCCATATCACTAATGTTCAAACCATCCTCTCATTGGTATTATCTTTGGTATAATGGTGTATACTTTTCCTCCGGCTGCCCGTGCCTTGCCTTCGTACTTCCACGGCTCTCCCGGTGTCCTCGTCTCGTGCGCTGTGTCATTCAGGCCCCCGTGTGGCCCGACCCGCCCGATCAGCCTGGGAGTCGGCAGAACATTTGATACGTTTGGCGGCGCGCCCGCGGGGGAAGTGAGAGGTGGCAGGCTTTCTCAGAAGGCGCCAGGGCTCCTTAGAAGCCCTCGCGCATGCTCAGAAGGCCAGAGACGTGCCAGGTCTTCTGAGCAGGCCCACCCCCTTCTGACTTCCCCCCGTGCTCGTCGCCGAGTGTTGCCGAGCGGAACAGGACAAGAACAGACGTGTGGCACGGGCATCCTGCAGTGATGGTTCCTGGGGCGAGCCTGTGCTCCTGGCCATCCGCCATGAGAGGGACTCCATGCAGCCTGCGCTCGCACTGCGGGGAACGGCCGTGGTGTCACCCCAGCTGGCCGTTTTCGTACAGAACGACTCACGTCTCACAGCTTCCTCCCCGAGGCCATTTGGTAGCGTGGCCGTAGGCCATGTTCGAGGCTGGATTCGCAATCACGCCCCCGAAGCATTTGGAAACATCGCGCGTGGACCCCCGAGAGCGCCCCAGAGGTCTTGAAAGCCAGGGTCTGGACACTTCAGATGATATGTCACATGCCCCGGAGAAGAAATCATAAGGACCCGAAGACACTCCACCCAGCGCCTCGCGTCACGGAGGCGAGCCTGCAGGGCGTCCCCGTATGCCGCCGCTCCGTCCCCTTTCGGATGAGTCCGTGGCGCTGGGGCAGCCGGATTGGAAGCACGTGGGCCTTCCTAGCGTTATGTTGGGGTTTCTTGAGACCACTGGGGCAAAAGGGATCGGGCATTCTACAAAGCTCGGCAACATTGGCTTGAACAGTGGTGAACGAGCTATCTCAGCGTCGTTCCTCTTGTCCCCTTCAGTGTCGTCCCCTTCAGTGTTGACGCAGGCCAGAACTCTGTTTGGGCCAGCGTGACTCCGAAGCTCCACGATGACATCCATTGGAGAGTAGGTGCCAGCAAGTATTTCGCCCGCGAAGCCAACTTTGCCGAAAGCATCGTATACGAGGAAATCGCGCAACGCGCTTTCAGGTTAGACTTGACTAGGGTAGTAGGCGAATGTCAGGGCTAATGTTGCACCGTCGTGGGCCAGCTCGAAGCCTTGTTGCCCAATACTGATGGGCATGTGGAAGCCACCATGGGACCACTTGGGGCCTTAGTGGGCGATGGTGAGATCGAATGGGGCGAACTTCTGAAACATGTTGAGACCAGCATGTAAGCCACAACTGCATCATGCAAACAAGCGCTGGTGCGTTTTACATACAAACGCACATCTACGTATGTGTATATATATATATATATATATAGGTATCTGTATGTATATATAGATACATATACAAGTCTGATCGAATCGGGCCCATCGGAGGCAATGGTTCAGGATGCCAGCCTACTACACGCTGTCACACACTGGCGGAAAACAAACTGCAGGTCTTCACGCTTGCTAGATCCCACAAGCCTCAAATGGCGCTCACCGTGCTCGAGCCAGTACCAGGGCCAGGCCGAGGGACGGTTGGAGGCCAAGAGGAAGCACGAGATTGTTGAGCTTGTGTGCTCGGGTGGGTACGAGGGCGATGGGGCTGAGAGAATCTGCGGGGCCGCTCCAGAGCAGTTGAGGGAGCCCTCGAGGGAGTAAGAGGCCTAGGGGGGGGGCTCCAGGCCTGTGCGGGCTTAGAAGCACTTCAGATGGCATGCTCAGGAGGCTTGTCCTCTTGATGTTTCTCAGCGATCGCACGGGCATGTGTAGTCAGCGGAGCTGTGCAAATCTCCGAGCGTGGCCGAGTAGATCTACCAGTCGGAGTAGATGACTGCAGTGTGTTACCCACACCCTGAGAAACTGTGGACGCTCCGCACAGTGCGGGCATAGTCTGAACTGGTGGGCCTCCCGTTCCCTGAGAAATGGTCGAGCCGCCTCGCACGGTGTGGGCATACTCAGGCATTGCGGGGCTTCCCATACCCTCAGGGAATGGATGCGGAGTGCACGGTGCAGGGTGGTTCTCCACACCTGTCGACGTATTTGTCGGCGTGAGAGATTGGAGGTACCCGGCTCAATCATGACAGATTTACAGTCTGAGCAGCGTGATATTTTTGTTCATATATATATATATATATATGTATACACACATGCGTGCGCAATGTGTATATCTAGACGTACACCTGGACAGGGGAGGAATTAGAGTACCAAAAATCAAGGCCGTCGACCCCCTAATCTGGATCCACCCCATTTCTGGCCTCTCGGCCCCCAGTCATTGGCCGTTCATGATTCCTGTAGGGCGCCAGGAAGCCCGAAGAGAGAGCGAATCAGCGACAAGAGGCCCCCAAGAGGCCTCGAGGATAGCTCGAAGAGAACCCGAGAGGAGTCACGGACGGCCCGCATATTCGAAGCAGTGCAGTTCCATGTTGTCATCTGTGTGCCAGACATCTCATACGTTTCGGTTTGTTATTTGCTTCTAAAACGGTTTTGGAGAAGCCGAAGGGCGCATACACGTGTCCCAAGATAAATCCTTTATGGCCCAGGACTGTTCCAGGAGAGTCTCAAGATATTTCAAGGCGCCTCAACGAGGCCCCCAAGACGCGCCCAGTACACCACGAGACATCCGAGACGCCACCAAGGCGGCACAGACGGCCCAGGAAGACCCAAGAGGCCCGTCAGACCCCATAGAGATCCCCACAAGGCACTCAAGGGGGCCCGAAGAGGCTCCCAAGCGTTTTCAAAAAGGGCCCCGAGAGCCCTCCCAATGAACCCCCCCGAGAAGAAGAAGGGTAAGAAAAACAAGAAGAAGAAGAAAAAGAAGACGAAGCAGAAGAGGAGGCATACAAGGTTGAAGATCCCAGGCGGCCTGGTGAAATCCTTGATAATAGAGAATGGAGACACTCAATATTCCAAGCTTCACACGGTAACACGATACAGAGCACGTGTTGTCAAGACGAAATGTTGGTGCAGTGCCCACCGTGATCTCTCTCTCTCTCTCGTTGTTGGTTTGTTCTCTATCTCTCTCTCTCTCTACGTGTATGTACGCGTGTTATGTACATACACACAAGACTACATTGGCGCGTCGCTCCATGCACTTTGGTCCTTGAAGTCTGGCATGCGGAAGGTCAAGAAGGTCAAAGCGAACATTTGCTATTACTTAGGGTTATTTTTTCCGACATCGCGATCGGTTCACCATTTGGAATGTTTCGGGGGACTCTTCGGGGCCATCTTGGGGCAATCCCTGGGCCGAAACTTGCTCAGACAAGACGACCGCCTACCGAGCTCGCACTCGTTTGTGATTCGTTTTGCCTCATCCGTTACACGTTCGTCTTCCATGCTTGGGGAAAGGAAAAAAGACCGTCATGCCGCTCTCGTGGACTGCCTGGAAGCCCGTTTTTGATAATTCGGGTGCGATTTCCAGGCCCCCATGGGCGGCCTCGGACGCCCGGAAGGCCGACGAGCAGAGCATTCCCAAAATGGTGCAACAACTTATGGGACATCAAGGCTGTTTTGCGTCTTGAAGGCCTCCTGGGGGTCTTCTTTGTGTCGTCTTCGGGCATCTGGTGGGTGTCTGGCTGGGGCCT